CCTCCTCTACGCCGCCCCCAATCCGTTCCCACCCCCTTTGCGCCCCCCCTCTCCGTCCCGTCCCCTTTCCTCCAGACAGGCGAGGGCGGAAAGCCTCAGCGGGAGAATTAGACCCGCCCGGGCCTCCCCTCAGCGCCTCAGCCGTCTCCAAAGCTAGGAGGGGGAAGTGCCTGTCTGGCTCCGGCCGGCCCGCTCGCTGCTTCCTTGCCCTCCCTTCCTTCCCTCTCTCTCTCTCTTTCCCTCAGCCGCGCCACAACCGCCCCGGGGAAGGATGGGTACAACCCCACCCCTTTTTGCCCGACTCGGGCTGCAAAGCGCCGCTTTTTTTTGTTTGCTCATCACGGGCGCTGATTGGAAGAGGAGGGCGGCGTTGGAGCGCGCGCTCTTCCGCTCGACTCCTTCCCCCTCCTCTTGAAGCGTTCGCGCGCGCGGGGAGTGTGGTTGATAGAGCGCTGATGGCGCGTGCGCGCGCACTAGCGGGAGGGGGGGGAAGAGAGGTCCGTATGACGCAGGCGCGGGCCCGAACGTTCTCTTTGTATCGCGAGCTCCCCCCCTCCCTCCAAAGGAGTCCCCAGCCCGTTTCTTTCTGCCTCCCCCCCCCACGTGCAGATGCCAGCCAGATGTTCGGCCGCTGGGCTTGTTCTATCCGACGCGGGCTTGAAGTGGTCCTTCTCCCGGGGTTCCCTTTCCTCAGTCGCTTCCTAGAGGGGGAAATAACTCTGAAACCAGCGCCCCCCCCCCCGGTGCATGGCTTAAGACTTCTCCCAGAGCCCCGATTTTTGAACGCGAAAAAAAAGATCGTCGTTTCCCCAATCCGGGGCAGCCAAAGGTGTCCCCCCCCCCAGGCAACTGTGGACAAACTGGGATTTTCTTTGAAGACGTTTCGCTTCTAATCCAAGAAGCTTTTTCAGCTCTGACTGGATGGTGGGGAATGGATTACCATGACCTGCATGACTAAGAATTTCTACAGACTTTTAGCTATATAATTTGGGATGAAGACCCTTTGAATGGTGTGAGAGTAGGAATGGATTTCCGGGGGGGGGGGAATTGCAGACTACAGGAACCAGGAGCACCACTGGGTGACCCTGAGAACACAGATAAACCTCCAAGTGCTTCATTGACCCCCTAAAAGACCAGCTGTCTGCAAGGAGTGTTAATCCTTCCCATTCCCCACCATCCAGTCAGAGCTGAAGAAGCTTCTTGGATGGGAAGCGAAACATCTTCAAAGAAAAACCCAGTTTGTCCACAGTTGCCTCTTGAAAAAGCACCTTTGGGTCAACCATGACCTGGATGACTGAGAATCTCCATAGTGAATCCACTTTTCCAGCCCTCCACGTCCCTTCTTGGCGTATCTTGTCCCAGGAAGGAGGAAGTGCTTGGAATCTGTTTGAAAGGGCAAAGCATCCAGTTAAGACGGTAGTTGCAAGGAAGGCAGATTCCCTGATCCCTGCTCCCCCAGGGGAGGGGAATAACTAGGGCATTGATGGTGAACCTTTAGGGCGCTGAGTGCTCAAATCAGAACGTGCACATGTGCGCACATGCACCAGAGCGCTAGAAACCCGAAGACTAGCTGACTGGTGTTGATGCGCACGCCGGCCAGTTTTTACGGCGCATATGAAGACCAACTGGCTGGCATGCATTTGCACGGTGGAAACCAGAAGAGCAGCTGGCGACGGCACTCATATCCAGAGAGAGGGCTCTGCGTGCCACCTCTGGCACTCATGACATAGGTTCGGGTCTAGAGAGATTCTCAATCATCCAGATCATGATTGTCCCAAAGGTGTCTCCCCCCCCCCCCAAAGGTTACTGGACTTTGGGGTCCCTCCCCCCTTGAAAAGTTTCGCTTCTCAATCAAGAAGCTTTTTTCAGTTCTAACTCTAATTCTTCAGTTAGAAGTGAAGAAGCTTCCTAGATGAGAAGCAAAACGTTTTTTCAAAGGAGAATAGAATAGATACCTTTATTGTCACTTTGAATGTACACTGATTAGCATACATAAAAATGAAATTTTGTTGCATACAGTTCTCAGAAAGTCACCACCTCCAACATACATTACATGAACATGGCTAAATAAATACATAAATAAATACAAAATTATGTATATACCCATATACATGGCACACGGAAGGAAGGAAGGAAGGAAGGAAGGAAGGAAGGAAGGAAGGNTGAAGTCCAGACATCTTCAAGTGGCCAAGGTTGAAAAACACTGCTGTAAAGGAAACCAAGGCAAATGTCTATTTGCATTGCTCGGTAGAAACAAAACGTTCACAAACAAAACTGGCACTTTATTGGTACGTTTCATTGCAAGAATAACAGGAATCCGATAAGACATCAGGGATTGTTAGAAGATAAAGGTTGATACGTTGGACTTCGGCCACTTCTTTTATAAAAAAAATAACTCATTAAAATCGAGGGGAAAAGAAAATCATGGTAACATTGCAACGACACATTTTTCTGCGCATTTCTGAAGTCTGCCCTCCCACCCCCAGGAAATAGTCTTGACGTGAGACGCTACCCGTAGAATCGCCCGTTTGGTTGGTTTCTCGTGCGCCGCCCTCCCGCCTTTTCCCCCCTCTGGGTGTTTTTCGCTCCTGGCTTTTGTTCGCCCGCTTTCCTTTCTCCTCCCCGCCCCCACCCTTCGACTCAGGGAAAGATGCGGGCGCCGTGGAGCTTCACTCGCCTCCGCGCGCATGCTCCCTCGAAGGAAAAGAGGGGGGGAGAAAGGCAACCCAGGGGGACGACGCGCCTGGGTGACGTGTTCCGGCGGCGGCTGTTCGCGAGGACGGCGCAGGGGGGAAAACAGGGAGGGGGGGCAAGAGGGAGCGCGCGCGGGCGAGGGAGAAGGCCGCGCGCGCTCCCGCCCGCCTGCCGTTTCCTAGCCCGAGTCTGTGATTGGTGCAGGCCTCGGACCTGGCGGACCTCGAATGCCAGGCCCCGAAAACTGGCAGGCGAGGCGGCCGAGCGTCCTCCGGCCTACACCCCCGCTCGGCCCCGAGCCCGCCCGGCGAAGGTGAGGAGGTGAGGGGGGGAAACGGGGGCGGCCCATCCGCCGGTCGCTGCGAGGCGTGTCTTCTAAGGAAGCGCCACAGAGAGACGGAAAGGCGAGGCGTTGTCGGGAGGGACGGCCGCCAGGCCGCATAGGCCCCGGCCCAGGCCGCGCCCCGAGGCCTACTCCAGGCCTCAATGGCGGCCGGCTGTTTTCTCCTCTTCTAAGGACGGGGTTTCTTTTTACCTCGGCCCAGGCGCCGCTCTTCCCCTCCCTGGCGGCTCGCCGAGACGTTTTGGGCGCCTCCGCTGCTGCCTTGGCTGGCCCCGGCTTCAGAGCGGGCCAGAAAATGGCGGCGCGTAAAATGGCGGCCGACAACGGCCGCAGCCACCCCCCCCCCCCAGTCCCCCCCCCCCACCCCCCCCCCCCAGTCCCCCCCCCCCACCCCCGCCTCTCCCGGCTACGGAAAAACCCACCCCCCTCCTCTACGCCGCCCCCAATCCGTTC